AGGGTTGTCTCCGCTCTCCAGGGGGCATGCTCTTGGAGATATGGAGCCTAAGTGGGGGCCTGGTGTGGCGGGGGGAGCTCTATCCCGCTGGATCCGATAGAGGGACCCGACCAGTTGTTGTGCGGGAGTGGGGGCTGCCCACGCCAGACCACACGCTCGACTGGGGTGCGTGGGAGAGGGGTTCCGTTGCTTGGTTACTGAAGCCGTTTGTGCGTGTTGAAGCTTCATAGGTCTCTCTGGCAGTTGAGCCCCTATAGGGCACAGCTGTATGTGGATGGGGGGTCCATTGGTTGCCAGTTGGCTGGGGGGACCTCTCCGGAGGTTCGAGTTGATGGGCTCATAGAGAGTCTTGTTGATTATGGTGGCTCTTGTGGAGCGGGGGACAGTGTTAGGGGTGGTCGGGTTGTTGTTGCCCCTTAGCACTCCCGGGTCCGCGTCACTCTTTACTGCTGTGCTTAGCCTCTTCCCCCGAGTGTGGGGTGTTTCCTCTCCGTGTTGGAGATAATTTCCAGGGAACACCCGTGTTGTGTTTCCACTCGAAGGTCAGGAAGGATCCCACCTTCGATTGGTTTTTGTCTGTGCTTAATCCCCCCCTCCCTGTGTTTCTCGTGCTTTGGTGTTTTTGTTTTGTGTGTGTGTCCCACACTTTCCACCTGGTGGTCTCTGGCTCCGATACCCCCGGGTGCAGTGAACCGCAGGCCTGCCGATCGGTGAAGCGACCGACCATGCCTGAGCTGCGTGTCACCTCATTTAATGTCCGTGGCCTCCGAGTCCCTGAGAAGAGGTCGGGCCTACTGGCAGAGCTGTGGCGCTCTAGAACCCAGGTAGCCTTCATACAGGAGACCCATTTCATGGTGGGGCGTATCCCGAAACTGGGGAACCACAGGTACACAACGTCTTACCATGCCCCCTTCCCTGACTCAAAATCCAGGGGGGTGAGCGTGGTGATGGCCAGATCCCTGCCCTGGACTTACGCTGACCACTATGCGGATCCAGAGGGTCGACTGTTGCTGGTCAAGGGGGCGGTGCATGGGCGGCTAGTGACCTTCGCCGCGATTTATGCCCCTAACTTAGGGCAGACGGCCTTCTTGGAATCGGTGTGGTCCCGCATGCTGTCCTTTGCTGAGGGACTATGGTTACTGGGAGGAGATTTTAACCTGGTGCTCGACCCATCCATGGATTCGTCAAGGGGACTCTCCCAGATCACCCATGCCCAGAGGCGGCGTATCAAGCGCTCCATGTATGACTTACAGTTGATTGACCCCTGGCGCATAGACGACCCTACGGGTAGGGATTACACACACTAGCCGAACTTCATGAGCTCCTGATGGACAGAGTGAAGGCCCAGTTGGCCAGATCCCGCCGCTCGTTCTATGAATATGGGAACAAGGCCGGTCGGATTCTCTCCAACGCCCTGCGGGACCCTAGATCTTGCAACTTCATTCCGTCCATCAATTCGGGCTCGGTAGCATCGCGGTCCTCAGACATAGCGGCACACTTCCACTCATTCTTCACTAAACTGTACAACTTACGAGCTACGCCCGACCCCCCTGTCCAGGAGGCGAGGGGATCGGAAATCAGGGATTACCTGGCCTGCTCAGGCACGCCACGTCTTTCTGAATCTGATAGTCAGGCGTTAGAGGCCCCACTATCCCAAGCCGAATTTGATTGTGCTATACGGGACATGAAGCCCGGTAAGGCCCCTGGCCCGGATGGGCTAACCCTCCCGTACTACAAGCTTTACCGGGAGCAGTTGGGAGCCCATTTCCTCTCTGCTTTCAACGCCATATTAGAGGACAGACCCATACCCCGGGACTCTCTAAAAGCCCATGTCACGGTTATCCCGAAAGAGGGGAAAGACCCTCTGCAGTGTGCCAGCTACAGGCCCATATCTTTACTGAATGTGGATCTCAAAATTTTCACCCGTATCCTGGCCTCTCGTTTGCTCCCTTTCCTGCCTGACCTTGTGGGCCATAATCAAGTGGGTTTTGTCCCTGGTCGTGAGGCCAGGGACAACACCATAAGGACCCTCAATGTGATACACCTAGCTCGTTCCCTGTCACAACCTCTTCTCCTGCTGTCCTTGGACGCGGAGAAGGCTTTTGACAGGGTCGATTGGTCGTTCTTGAGGGAGACGCTTTCTCACGCGGGTCTGGGGAGCAACATGAGGCGCTGGATCACTGCTCTCTACACTGCACCCACGGCGAGGGTTAGAGTAAACGGGGTCCTCTCGGAACCGTTCTCTATTTCGAATGGTACGCGCCAAGGATGCCCGTTGTCCCCTCTTATATTTATCCTCACGCTGGAGCCGGTCCTCAGAAGGATACAGGCTTCACCGGACATCCAGGGCCTGGAGCTGCCATCGGGGCACCACAAAGTTGCGGCCTATGCGGACGACTTGTTGCTCCCGCCCCGAGATAACGTTGCCCAACGTTATGCGGGAGCTGGAGGTGTACGGCCGCTTAGCAAACTTCAAGCTGAACTTAAGCAAATATGAGGCGCTGAATATCTCTCTCTTCCCGACGCCAGGGTACGTGCTCTCCAGACAGCCTTCCCGTTTCGATGGGCATCTGCACATATCAAGTATCTGGGGGTGGCTATTCCGGCTGACGTTCGCCAGACATACTCCTTAAATTTTCCACCCTTACAGAAACGCATAGACCAGGACTTGCAGAATTGGGACCGCCCCACGTTTACATGGATGGGTCGAAATAGCATCCTGAAGATGACCATACTACCCCGGTTGCTCTACCTCTTTCAGACGCTGCCCGTTACTGTACCCTCTGTGTTCCTTAAGCAGATGAGATCTAGCTTCTTGAGGTTTCTGTGGGCAAATAAGCGGGCTCGCTTGCGCCACCAGATCCTTTCCAGAAAAAAAGAAACGGGTGGTTTAAGTTTCCCCGACCCCGGGCTGTACTATAAAGCAGCACACCTGTCTGTGGTGCTGGATTGGTGTTGTCATAGTGACCTGAAATTGTGGGTGGAGTTGGAACAAGAGGGATGCCAATTGCCCCTGCGGGGCATACCTTGGATAGCCCCAGCACTGCCGCTGCCCTCGTGGTCGAACCCGCTGGTTCGGGCCACGATGGGAGGGGTAGCGAAGACACTCCTCTCCCCGGGTTTTACTCCCCCCACATCCCCCCTGACGCCGGTGGTGGGGAACCCCAGTTTCCCTCCCGGGATGACTGGTCCACTGGCGAGAGCCCTAACTTCCTCAGGCAACACCCGAGTGTGTCATTTATACAATGCAACAAATGTCATAATACAATGCAATAAACCCTGCTGCAAACTTTGCCAACATATATGTGACAGAAATACAGCGAGTCACAACAACAAAGCGTACCCCATTAAGGGGTCATACTCATGCACATCTGCTAATGTGGTGTACATGATACAGTGTTCAGTATGTGACAAAGGTTGTTACATTGGGGAAACTGGCCTTAAAGGAGAACTATGAGGTGAGTGCTTTTCACTCACCTCATAGTTCTAGCCGACCTGTGACAATGAGACTGTCACAGGTCGGCTCAGTAGATCAGGAGGTGAGCGAACACATACCGGCGTTCGCTCACCTCTCTATCCTGTCACGGCTCTCTGCCGTGACTGGGGAGGGGCTGGATTCCCCCCTACCCGATCCGCCAGCGCTGACTGGCGGAACAGACGGAGGAGGGGGCGGGTACAGCTGGCTCTGTCAGTCACGCAGCTGGGTGGATCCCGGCACAATTGTCGGGATCCGCTTCAGCTGCGGCGTCTCAGTATACCGCGAGTAGCTGATCGCGGTTTACTGCGGCGTCTCAGTATACCGCGAGCTACAGCTCGCGGTATACTGAGCCTAGGGTGACGGGAGGACGCTAGTTACCGGGGAAATGGAAGATACCGAATCCAGCTGCTTAAAGAAGCAAGTATTCAAGTTGATCAGAAAAGAAACTCAGATCAAAAGTGACATTTTTTCTTACCAGTTGTAAGAAAATCAACATCATCCCAAAATGGGACTCACTATGAAGAACCCACTCTCTACTACCCACAAATCACCAGCAGCTGAGATCATCTGCAGACGGAGCAGTGAGAAACTACGTAACCTCCTAATTCATCAACTATATGGAAAAAGACGAAGATTAAACTGCCAAAGGCAATCCCTACTACAAAGCCTTCTACAAATTGCACCTGAAGCCAAAAATTTGGAAATAAAAATGGACTATTTCTACAGGAAAAACCAACAAAGCCTCATCAGTAAGAAAAAGACGAAACTGGCAAACCTTACACAGAACAAAGACGTCCCAAAAACTAGATTAACCAATTTCACCTCATCCTCTGGTTAATCCAAGCTGAAATGGTTAACCACCGTGAAAGCTGCACAGACAATGCTGAAATTGTTAACCTCTCAAGAAGATTAAACTGCCAAAGGCAATCCCTACTACAAAGCCTTCTACAAATTGCACCTGAAGCCAAAAATTTGGAAATAAAAATGGACTATTTCTACAGGAAAAACCAACAAAGCCTCATCAGTAAGAAAAAGACGAAACTGGCAAACCTTACACAGAACAAAGACGTCCCAAAAACTAGATTAACCAATTTCACCTCATCCTCTGGTTAATCCAAGCTGAAATGGTTAACCACCGTGAAAGCTGCACAGACAATGCTGAAATTGTTAACCTCTCAAATCGTCTCACAATACAGGAAACAACAGTCCTATCCAAGGGGCTTACATTTTGTCCAAGCACCAAACTGGACCACATACAATTATACTCAGACTTTAGAAGAATTCTTTAGAAGACTGAGGCTTAAGGAATTTTTCTTTTACCATTCAGCCTGGACACATTCAGCCTGGACACATTCAGCCTGGACAGCAGAAAAAAGAATGAAGGCTTTACACCTGCAACAGGACATAGCATCAAATTCGACAATTAAATTGAAAGCTTCCACACGAGTGTAGCATCCCTTGTTATCACACAACAGAAAAAAAAATACAGACAACCTCCTACCTGCAGAAAGAAATGCCTTACATAACTTAATGAATGATAAACACATCATCATCAAACCAGCTGACAAGGGCAGATCAATAGTTATCATGAACACCCAGGACTACATTGCAGAAGGAAACCGACAATTGTCTGATAAAAACTACTACAAACAACTGGACCAGGACCCCACCAGGGAATATACAGAAGAACTTATTAAACTTAACAAATCCTTCCCAAAACACATACAGCAAGGATTACTTAATCTGCTACCTTCCAATCCTAACATGGGGACCTTCTACATGCTGCCCAAAATCCACAAGCCAGGAAACCCAGGACGACCCATTATTACAGGTATGGAAACAATTACAGAACAAATATCTGGCTTAATTGAAAACATTCTGAAGCCCCTGGTTATCAACACTGGGAGTTTTATACAAGACACCACAGATTTCCTGAACAAACTGAGCCTAATCACTAACAGGGGTGTGGAATTCGTATCGCCCGACACCCGGGACATGTAGTTCCGGGCGCATGGCAAGTGGTTTTTGCACTGTTTTAGCCCTGCTACTGACAAGTAGCAGGGCAGGTTTTCTTCTCTTAAATGAGCTCCGAGAGCGGCGCTACGAGCGGGGGGCGTGGCCGGAGCATCAAGAGCGAGGATGGAGCGCTGAGAGCGTGGGTCGTGGAGCCGTGACGGTGCAGTGAAGTGCTGTGCTAGAACTCCTGTGTTGGAGGTGACAGGGTCAATAAAGAGTACCTGTCACCTCCAAATGCTATTATACAGGGGATTGCTATCCTCTGTGTGATAGCAATACAGTTAAGTTAAAAAAGAAAAAAAGTTAAATCATTAAAAATATAACTAAATAAAAATGTAAAAAAATCAAAAAGGCGATAAAGTAAAAATAATAAAACAAATGAATTTTTTTTACAAAGTATGTAAAAATTGAAAAAAATTAAAACCAGCCCCGCTGCCCCCATCTGCATGCGAATAAACGCGTAGTGTTTTCAACTGCGATCATGTGCAACCGCACAGGCAGGGCGGTATTGCAGCAGGAAAAACACGCAATCTGCCTGGGGTGCCATTAGAAAAATAATGGCACTGCCAGCGCGATCGGCAGTGGTGTGCGATTCCGTGGCCACCCAGCCATCCGCTCGGTTTTGTGCACGAAAACCGAGCGGATGGCTGGGTGGCCACGGAATCGCACACCACCGCCGATCGTGCTGTCAGTGCCATTATTTTCTAATGGCACCCCAGTCGTGCCAGGCAGATTGCGCGTTTTCCTACTGCAATACCGCCCGGGCGATCCCACACGATCAAGGTTGAAAACACTGCGCAGTGCATGTCGTAAAAATAGGTACATCTACCTATTTTTCAGTGATTGCCACGCCACTGCTATTCAATGGAGCTGTCTTAGCTTCATGTCGCTCGTCGCTGCAGCAGGACCCTTTTTTCGGCGGGTTTTGAGCGATTTTGCTATTTTTTAATGGAGCCCGACAGTGAAGGTATGATAGTGAGACCATTACCAAACTCATTGAATTTATACTGACACACAACTACTTCAATTTTAATTACAACATCTATTTACAAATGACCGGGACTGCTATGGGCACAAAAATGTCACCACAATATGCCAATCTCTTCATGGCTGACCTAGAGTAGAGATTCCTAGCCACTCACCCTCACAAACCATTCAAATATTATGGTTATATTGATGATATTTTTGTAATATGGACATAAGGAGAAGAAAGCCTTTTAAACTTCCATGAATCGTTCAATTCATTCCATCCATCAAACTCAAAATTAATTTCTCAGAACACACGGTCAGCAATGGCTCACTCAGTTCTTCTGTATACAGAAAACCCACAGACAGGTACAGCTAACTCCATAATTCCAGCTTCCATCCAAATCACACTAAACAGGGTGTCATCTACAGCCAAGCTATCCGATACCACCGCATTTGCTCTGACACTGAGGACAGAGACAAACACCTAAGCACACTGGCTGATGCATTTCGGCGAACGGGCTACAGAGAAAAGACTATTTCTAAAAAAAAAATGTACCCTAAGAACACCACGGGAAAGACTCCTACAGTACAAACAGAAGAAAAACCCAACCAGGACCCCTCTAGAGGTAATACGCAAAATAATCAAAGACCTCAGACCTCTCAGCCAGTACTCTCAGAAGACCCTATACTTAAAGAAATATTCCCTCAGCCCCCACTGAACCTGAGAAGATTGGTACGCAGTAAGCTGACCCCAGAACAGGCATAATACAATGCAATAAACCCCGCTGCAAACTTTGCCAACATATATGTGACAGAAATACAGCGAGTCACAATAACAAAGCGTACCCCATTAAGGGGTCATACTCATGCACATCTGCTAACGTGGTGTACATGATGGTGTTCAGCATGTGACAAAAGTTGTTACATTGGGGAAACTGGCCTTAAGCTGCATCTCAGGATGAACCTACACAGGAGCTTGATCAAGAACCACAAAGAGAATGAATATTGCACTCCAGTAGGACATCACTTCTGCCAGAAGGATCACTCCATCCACAACCTCAAAATTAAAGTACTGAAAGGGAATTTTAAAAACTCTCATGAAAGGAAAACATTTGAGATGAAAATGATTCTACATTTCAATGCCATAAAGGAGGGACTTAATGTGGATTCTGGTTTTCTGACACACTACCAGAACTTTTTATGAATCTACGGAACACCACAATATTCATGTATGTCGTATATCTCTGATCTGTTTATGGTTTATCCGCCATCCTATGTTTATTTGTTCTCTCTTTTGATTATCAGGATGCATTTTTTACTCCCAGGTCCAACATTTATGACAAATATATATATATATATACACACAGGACTATTTTTTTTTTTACTATATAATAGGGCTGGTAATGATTAAAATTTTCGAAATTTTTTTTATCGATTAATTATAACGCACATACAGATCCAACTACATTGGCCTACACACACACACTCAAATAGTATGAGGGGAATTTATCAAAACTGAAGCAAAAGTATCTGGAGCAGTTGCCTATGACAAACAATCAGCTTCTCTCTTCAGTTTGTTCAGTTAAAGTTTAAAAATAAAAGGTGGATGCTGATTGGTTGCCATAGGTAACTGCTCCAGATTCTGTCTGCTCCAGTTTTGATAAATTCCCCTCTATGTATGTTATGACTTTCAGGGCTAGTTCACACCAGTTCCGGGCGTTAAGGCCCGATTCGTGCTCAAACACACTGGATCGCATCTTGGCCGGGAGGGGGCGTGTTGTTGCATTAAAGTCAATGGCAACGCATGTACGCCCCCCGGCCGCAGTGTGATCTCCGGAACACATGGCAAATCAATGTTCTGGTCTCTCTGGGCCCCCCAAACTGGCGGAACACCAGGGCCCGGTCGCAAATGCGACTGATGCAGCCCTGGTAGTTTCGCCAGTGCCGGTATCTGCGTTTAGTATTGGGTCATTTTCACGAGTACGAGTGCTTGTCAAAAAACCCAGTATTGGCACAGGTGCATCCCTACTTAATATAATGTATTGCTGGGACCTTCCCCAAGTGGCTCCATCGGCTAACGTAGGGAAGGGGGGAGGAGTCTGGTGAAGTCGATGTCCGTGACGTCACCGGACTCCTCCTTCCCTTTGTTAGCCGGGGAGTTCCGCCTGTGTGTGTGCATAGTTGGTGGTATTCAGCATTGCTGTATAATCATTATACATCAATGCAGAACACCACCAGCTATACAGGAGGTCGAAGGTAAACTAGAATACCCCCAGTTTAAACCCCCCGTCGCGCCCCCCACCAGTTTAACTAGAAAAAAATGGTACATGCATGAATCTATAACCGACCTTTATAGCAGGGCGCACATTGGGAAGGCTTACAACAATACAAAACACAGAAATTCCCCAGCCTCAACCTGCCAGCCAGCCTGCAACCAAACAAGTAGCCCTGTCAAACAGTATGCGTTAAAATCAGAGGTTTTAGTTGCACAAACTTTTGGCCAAAAATATGTAGAAGCCACACTGCCGCGCCAAGGCCCCACCAGTTTAAACCCCCCCTTCGCCATCTAGCCTTCACCCAGCCTTACCTGACTCCTGCAGCAGCTGCTTCATATCGGCGGCCAGAGGGTCCTCTCCCAACAGCTGATTGATGACCGGTGACCGCCACAGCCTCCTCTCCCCGCACATTCTACTGCTACGGGTGGCAGAGCGGCGGGGGGGGGGGGGGGGTTTGCTTGAA